CTGTGCAGTATTTTTCAGCTACTGTGCAGTCAATATCTCGCGTAGATATGCCCACTGACTCCTAACTAGCTGCTCCATAAGGGCCCGCCTCCCAAGTCCCAGCTCACTCAATCTCCTGTTAGGGAGCATCTATAAATTAGAACTTCTATCACTATACTGCTGTTGGCAACATTTCACTCCAAAGGCCAGCAGTGTGATTGTGCCAGCTTTCCTGAAAGTCCAGTTGCATGCAGTGTCCTGAAAGATCCAGGTTATTAAGAAAATATGGGTCTCAAGCTGACCCTTTTCATGCCAATCCTGGGTGCAGTGTGGGTCTAGGTAGACCCTTCCCACTGCTCTGACCATTCTGCCCTATGGATGGATACCTGCTAGGAAATAGAAGGAAACCAAACAGCAAAGTTTACACAAGATTGAAAACAGGATGTAGGTGTCCAGGGTCTGGGAAGTCAGCAGATACCTTTACTGTTCCACAGAGACTCCCAAGATCTTTTATGAGCTGTCATCCAGAATGGGACATTTTCTCCCATAGAATCTTCTGGGGATTATTGACAATAGTGTAACTAGGGGTGGGTGAGTGGGGCGCTGGTTCCAGGCAGTGATTTAGAGGGTATGCCAGAATGGGAGGAATGGGAGCCCCTGTGCTGCAGCAGCAGCATTCCATGCTATGCAGCAACAGCAGCCAGGGTCTTTGAGTTTCTAGGACCAGTAAGACACACATACAGCCACACGCACTCCCTGGTATCTCTGCCTAGGGCATAAAACATGCAAGGTAGACCTCTGATTGTTGGCATGACATATGGAGGGGTAGGTGAGGTGCAGGAGGTGTTTCTGTGTTAATGAGTCTCCTTCCTTTGTCTATTCCAGATCAATTTTATCTTTTTATTCAACATTGTTCGGATACTCATGACGAAGCTCCGGGCCTCAACCACATCAGAGACCATCCAGTACAGGTAGCAGTCAGCACTGGGGAATACCATAATAGCACCGTAACAAAGTGCTTGTCCAGGGGGTGACCGTGATGCCCCCTGGTGATCACATGGCCCTAGCCTGGTCTGCCCTTATGGGGAACCCTCCCCTTTGCTCACCCACCATGCCTTGATGTTCTAGTCCTTTAAAGGAAGGAAGGCTGCCCCAGGGCTTTCCAAAGCTGGCCTCACTCACTGACTTGCAGGCTAATCATGTGTCTTGGGGTACCCACACATGCTTGTCAGGGCCCAGCCTTCTCAGCCTCAGCCACCTCTTTCTATTGGCTGGTTCCTATGGCCTTGGCCCACAGCACAGGACCTGGCTTCCTTGTCCTGGCCCTCCTTGGGCCTTGTCTCTGCCCAGTTTCTGGGCTCCAGGCTCTCCAGCCTGAAACTTTGCCCTGCTTCAGGCTCTGGGCTCTCTGGCTCTAAACACTGCCCCGCTCCTGGCTCTGCTTGCTCACTCTGCCCCCTGCAGGGCTCAAGACAGCCATGTGCCCCTAGGGCACTACTGAGACCTCCAAAAACCACCCTGTACAGTCCCTCCATTTCCACCTTCATGTCCTAGAGAACAGCCATTCCTCACTCCCAATAAAACTAGCCAACCTTGCCCAAGGACTGCAGAGATTTCTCTGGCAGTCTGCTTTTCATAGCTGTTTTGTCCCCACCAAAGCCTCCCCTACAGTAATGCTGTGGGCTCAGTGGATAAATACAGCCAGTGGAGTCAAGGGTGTTTGTTGTAGCCATGTTAGTCTAAGGATATAGGCAGACAAGGTTATTTGGGTAAATGTTATATCTTTTATTAGACCAAATGAATAGTTGGAAAAAACTTTCTTTGCAAGCTTTCAGGAACAGCAGACTCTCCCTATGCCTGAAGAAGTGTGCCTGTGCCTGAAAGCTTGCAAAGAACAATTTTTCCAACTATTCAGTTGGTCTAATAAAAGATATCACATTTACCCGAATAAACTTGCCTGACCTCTGGAGTCAAGCATTTTGACTCAGTCCTTCCTCCTCTGTTATAAAAAAGACCCAAGCAGCTCACCACAGGAATCAATCCAACAAAGTCTGTGTGAGCTTCAAAGACCACTGGCAACTGGCTGTGAGAGAGTTCATCATTAGTCTTAGTGTTACCAGCAAAATGCTTTCCATTCCTCCCACATACCCTGGCTCTCCTCATCTCAGAGATGACTATGTTTCAGCAGTGCCATCTCTGAAATACTTTGGAGCACTCCTTAATGCAGGGGCAGGCAGTTATTTTGGGTGGAGGGACACTTACCAAGTTTTGGCAAGCCATCGAGGGCCGCATGACAGGCAGCCAGGGGCAGATAAATATTAATTTTCTAAATTTTTAGGGGCCCCACAGGACAGATAGAATGGCCTGGTGGACCGCATCCGGCCCACAGGCTGCATTTTGCCCACCCCTGCTTTAATGAATGTTGTCCACCAGTTCCTGGCTGTTGTCAGCAGAGCTGAGCAGAAAAAGGATGTCCAACCCTTCTAGCCAAGAAAGAAGTATCATGGGGTGGAAAGGGCCAGGACTGCGGTGTGATAGGCTTTTCAAAAGACCTGTCTTAGGACCACAGGCCTGGTTGACTACCATTTTAAGAAGTCAAAATGACTACCCATTTTAGGGGCAGGGGCCTCAGAAGTTCCAGCCAGAAAGTCTGTGTTTGAGACTGTCTAAAGGGAGCATAGTAGCTGAATAACTGTCTTTGCAAAAGCCTTCCCCAAAGGGTCTGACCTTCTGCTCTCTGAAGCTGGCCATACAAATCCTGGCACAGAGGTGAGAATTAAATTGCTGCTTGGGAGCAAAACAAAGGACAAGCTAAGAGAAATGAATCAATACAGCCCAAACACCTGCTGTCCCATCTCAAAGGAGGAACCAAAGGGTGTCTTTATACATGCTCCAGGGATTGTGGGAAGGAGGTTTCTTTAATTAGAGCAGCTCCTGGGAGCCGCTCTAATTAAAGTGCCTGCAGCATCTTCTGTATTCAGTGTCCTGCACTTCAAAATGGTGGTGGGGGAGTTTTAACTAAAGCTCATTCAACAAACCTTAGTTAAAGCGCCCCTGCTGCCATTTTGAAGCGCAGGGATGCTGAGTACACAAGAAACCAAGGCTGCTGGAGCATGTTAATTAGCACTCACCAGCAGACTCAGTTAAGTAAGTCTGCTCCGACACGTACTAACTAGCACACATCAGAGCAGGCATCAGGCATATGTGTAGGTGCCCAGAGCTTTCTTGGGTACATGGTAGAGCTGATTTGCCCTCCCCTTTCGAAACAGCATTTTGCAAAAAAGAGTGAATCTCTGAATCCTAAAATGCCAGCTGTCCTGCAGGAAGGAAAGGTCATTCTGTCTTTCAGTGAAGTTGACTCTTCCTGTAGAGGCAGAAGGAGACTTCCCAGGTCCAGAATGTACATAGCGTATGCTTGAGAAGATGGTTTTGCACTGATAGAACTAGTTTAATTGAACCTCTTTGCAAATAATGAATAAACATACTTTATTAGTATTGTTAGTACAGGTGGTTGGGAATGTTTCAGCATTCCTTCACCTGGAAAGGCCCACTTTTCAGAAATGAAACTTTTTGTCAGAGGAGTTCAGTTCTGAATAAATTTTCAACTTGGAAAATAACTGAGGGAAAATGTAAAACAGTCAAAAGAAAACATTTTGAGTCACCCAGACTGAATACTTCTGAATTTTTAGGTCAGGAAAATTGTCAAGATTTCTACCTGTTTCAGGACAGGGAAAAACTGTGATGTCCAGAAAATATTTGTGGGTTTTGAAAACTTTGTAATAGTTTCATAGATCAGGGCAATTCAATCACTAAACATCCAGGGGCTGCACATCCCACTGGCCACATCAGTAGAGGCTGCACACTGTATGGGCCACCCCAATGGGAGCCATGGGCCTAGGGCTGGACACCATGTGGACACCTGCCCTCCCACCCCTGCACCCCACATTCACAAAGCTCCAGCCTCACCCCTGGTCCCCACACTGTGTCATACTACACCACACCACCCCTTGGGGTGGGCACAGAAAGCAGAAACCAAAAGAGACAGAGAAGACTTGGCTCCAGCTGCTATGGCAGCTGGATTGATGTGGGGCAGCAGCTGGGTGGGAGCCGGGGGGGCCATAATTTAACTTCCTCCAGGCTACATGTGGCCCACAGGCTGTAACCGGACATCCATGTCATAGATTATAAGCCTAAAGGGACCATTGTAATGTTCCAGTCTGACCTTTGTATAGCACTGGTCTTAGGACTTCCTCAAATTCATTGGTGTTTGGATTAGAGCAGATATTTTACAAAAAAAATTAGCCTTTCACTTGTAAATTTCCCAGGAGATTAGTAAAACCATTGGTAAATTTCTCTACCAGTTGATCTCTTTCAATGTGTGCCTTATTTCTAGGCTGAATTTGTATAGCTTCAGTTTTCAGTCACTGATTCTTGTTATACCTTTATCTCCCAGACTGAAATGTGTTCTACCATCCAAGTGCCCACAGAAGCACGTATGCGCTGTGATGGAGCTCAACGGATTGAGCTCATTGAGCTACACAAGACACTGACTGTCTAGTAGCTGAATAATACTGCACAGTAGCACATCACAGCACAGACATTGCTAATACGCTACTGGGCAGTATTATTAGGCTACTGTGCAACAGCATCACTTAGAAGACGTTTGCCAGTGCTAATACAAGTACTAAGTAAATGTGCAGTAATGACTGCACAGTAGCATCTTGTATAGATGTGCTCAGTGAGTCCTTCCCTATGAAGCATGTGCTTCTTGCTCTCCAATTTACCAGTGATCTTCTTGAGCTGTGGATGCCAGAAGTGGATGCAGTTGTCCCACTGTCAGGTACATAAAATCAGAGAAAGGTAGGGCTGGAAAGGATTACAGAAGGTCATCTAGTTCAGCCTGCTTTTCAAGGCAGGATCATCTAAACCACCTATCTAAACCATCCTAGACAAGTGCTTGTCTAACTTATTACTAAAACTGTACAAACTCCCCTGTCACACAGCTACTAGGCACAATGCCCCGAAACACCAAAAGTGCTCTAATTTATGATTGGTAAAGCAGGGGGATGAGGGCACTACCAGTATACTGCCACTGCAAGAACAAAAAGTATTTGTTAAAATACATTTGAAAGATTCAAAGAAAAGTGCCAGGCCCCCCCAGCTACAGAGAAAGGCAAAGATCCCCACTCTCCATGCCTATCTGACTGTGGGGGTAAAATTCCTTCTTGATAACAAATGTGATGATTGGTCTGACTGAGTAAAGGAGCAAGATCCTCTAGTCTGGAACCTTTGGGTTTTTTAAATGATACCACCTCTATACTCCTACCCTGTATTCCCCTCTTTTTACTTCCAAAGGTTGTATTTGCCCAGCTGGCCACAGCATCACACCAAGAGCTGTTATGCAACTGATTGTCCACTTTGATCCCTTTAGTCTGGTTCTCCAGGACTGAGTCCCACATGCTGCAAATGTAGCAGGTATTCCTGGTGCCTCAGTATAGGACATTGCATTTGACTGTGCTGAAATGCCTATTGCTTCCTTGCCAACTGTTCCAGATTGCTCTGTCAGTGGCCTGACCTCTTTGCTATTTGCTGCTCCTCTAATTTGTGTGTCTGCAAATTTTATCAGCAATGATTTTGTGTTTTCTTCTAGGTCAGCGGTAAAAATATGAAATAGCTTAGGGCCAAGAACTGTGGATCCCTACAGGAAACAGACTGGCTTCAGGTCCTTTCCCCAATTACAGTTACACTTCAGACCCATCAGTTGATTTTTAATCCATTTAATGCTGTGTTGATGCAATGTTGTTCTGGTTTCTAAATCAAAATACACATGGTACAAATTCAAAGGCCTTACAGAAGTCTAGATCCATTATATCAGCCTATTACCTTTATCAACCAAATTTCTAATCTCATCAAAAACAAACATCAGATTAATTTGACACAGTTTATTTTCTGAAAGTCCAAATTGATTGGTGTTAATAATTCTATCTGCTTTTAATTCTTTGTTAATCAACTCCCCCACTATCTGTTCTTTAATTTCACCTGGGTTCATTGTCATGTATCCTGCCCAATCCTAATTATCATGTTCAATTTACACGTGGAGAAACTGGAGCACAGAGAGCCATAGGGTGTGTGTAGATGAAACGGGGGTTTACTTCACTCTAAATTGAAGCAGTGGGTTTTTTAAAACACGACTTCAATTTCGGGAGAAGTAAACCCCGTATCGTGTACACCTGTGTCTTACCTGCCTCCTCTCCGACAGCAGGGAGGTGAGAGCGAGCTGCCAGTGGGTGAAGCGGTCCCTGGGCTGCGGGGAGGGAGCTGGTGCTTCCCTCCACAGCAGCGGCACCCCCTTCCCTCCCCCCAGGCAGCACCCACCCACAGGCACCCGGTTTGGGCAGTCCAGGGTGGCACCATAGCCACAGAGGGAAGGACCAGGTCCCCGCGCAGCTCATGCAGGCAGGCAGACTCCAGGGGGGAAGAAAAAAGATCAGGTGCAAAAGCATTTAGCCCACTTTAAAGTGTCATGCCCACATGCCCCTCGTTTCGTCTACACACACCCATAGTGTCAAACATGACGACTTAAGTTTACGTGCTTGCAATCCACAATTCTACACTATGGCAACTGGCCTGATTTTCAGAGGCACTAAACATACAGTGTGCCAGCAACTTCAGAGGGCATCCTGGGTGGTCAGGACTTGTATCTGTCAGGCCATTTCTTTTGGGGCTGTCAGACCCTCACCATGTGCTCACGTTTGAACCTTCTGGCCTAAATGAGTGACATAATGAAGCCAGTAGCCCTGGCACTGCTGCCTCCATCCACTTCCCACCAGTAATTCTAGCATCATATAGAAGAAATAAATCCTTTCTAATAGGATGAGTCAAGCTCCTTCTCACCCCACCTGCCATTTATGCTAATCTGATTGCTTTTTCTTTATCCATTAGGAGGGGCTAAATTCAGACTCACATGCCTCCAATCTGCCAGTGGGTGGGGGCAGGGGAGGTATGCTGAGGTCTGCTGCTGTGCTGATGCAGCTCACCTCTGTACTTTTTCCTCAGGAAAGCTGTGAAGGCCACACTGGTCCTGCTGCCATTGCTGGGTATCACCTACATGCTGTTCTTTGTGAACCCCGGGGAGGACGAGATCTCCCGCATTGTCTTCATCTACTTCAACTCTTTCCTGGAATCCTTCCAGGTATGAGTTGTGGCAGCTGCATCACCCCATTGGCCAGACCCACGACATACATACAGCCTACCAGCACCTCTCAGGCCACACCAGGGTTACAAGAGATGTGCCACATGTGTGAAAAATGGGCCCAGAGCTGTATTGGAGTCAAGAGCCTTGGGCTGTGTGGCAGTGATATACAGCTTCATCCCACCCCAGTCCTCTGGAATCACTGCTAAATTCCGTGCGAAACATCTGAAATTGCAAAGTTAAAAATAACTCTGTTTTAGCTAGGTGTAAATTGACTCTGCTTTCTCCATGCCCAGGGACATCCTCTAACTGAAGCCACACCCAGAGCCTTCCAGGCTGGAGCCAATCCATTGCCCTACCCCCAAGACTGGAGCCATGCCCTCTGCCCACCTTGGGCTGACTCCATGCCAAGGATTTCCCTCCAAGATGTAATAATTGTGGTTCTTATGTTTCCTCCCCCCAGGGCTTCTTTGTCTCTGTCTTTTACTGCTTCCTGAACAGTGAGGTGAGTGTCTTCTCGGGGATCTGTGTCTTTCACTTCTGCAGGTTCCAGGCAAAGTTCTCCCAGTGCCTCTCAATTTGTCTGACAAGCCAAAAACAGGTAGATATCAGAGCAAGGGAGTTATGAGTGACCAGTCATCAGGGGATGCTGAGGCTCTCCTCAGACGTGAAGAAGCAATGACACAAATTTGGCGGATTTAACCTTGTCCCCCATAGGAAGTTATAGTCTCCATCAAAATCACCACGTCCTCTCTCTTGCCAGACCAGAGTCTGATGCCCATTAGCAAAGGCCAGTAGGGTCCCAGGACTGGAAGGGCAGAAGGCAACTCATTAAGAGGAGACTTCTAGTTCCAGCAACACCAGATTTGTTTCTGAAGAGCTTGCAATTGGTTTATTTACCAGTGCACCCAATCCCTGTTTTGCCCTTGCAGAGCAAGGAGAGAAAATCCAGTTATAGCATATACTTGAAGAACAAATTCACACTGGACCAGCTGAGGCCTGACAGCCAGCCACAATGATACTCAGTAGCAGCATTCCCTGCCTACACTAAATAGGGTCCAGAACTGTTGCCTGCTTCAGCAGTGCCAGTTTGTGTCTGGTGTAAACATTCACTGAGACACCCATCCCAATCCCTCCATACTTTACCTCTGAGCAGAGTGGCTGGGGAAATGATCATTAGTTTTCATGGGAAATTTAGAATAAATTTTATCCTTTTTTAATCAAAATTCACCATAAGAATGTGATTTTTTTTTTTAACAGAAAATATTGTAAATATGGATTGAAACCTATTTTCTGGAGGTTTTTTGTTTTAGTGTTCAAAAACCAAAATTTTTCCCCAAGCCTGACATTTTTCACCAAACATGATGAAAAATGATTGGTTTTATTGAGAAATTTCAGCAAAACAGGCACTCCTATCTCCCTGCCCCATGCTATTGTTTGCAAACCATTTTTCATTGCCATTGATTTTCATTGTTCAACCAGCTCTTAAATACATTGCAGCAGTGGGTTGTTTTGGTCAATGCACCAGTGAAATGTTATGATACTTCAGCCTAGGGCTGTCCAACTCACAGTCTAAGGGCTGCCTGCAGCTCACAAGGGATTAAATTGCAGGTTGTGGCCTCCTACCCTGGTGCCATTCCCCCCACCACTCAGGTGGTCTCTGAACTCTGGGTGGGAAGCATGGAAGGGTGGGGTGGGGTGGGATGTGCAATGTACTGCAGTGTACCTGGGGAACACCCGTGCAGCATGGCACAATGCAATGGTGGGGTAGGGGGTGCGCTGGTGGCACAGCACAGTAAAGGAGGAGTGCCAGCAGCTCGATGAGGAGTCCATAGGCCACACTGGTGCAGCCCCCAGCTGCTCATCAGTTAGATAGTCCTGCTTTAGTCCATCGTTGTGATGTCACAACAAGATTGTCTGATGTTCCCACCGTGCATTTTAGCCTAATAGGCAAAGCCCCCGGATGAACTTCATGTACACATCTGAATGAGTTGCACACATCTGTTTGAAGACAGGGGTCACTTCACCAAACCTTGTGAGTTCTGACCCCAGACACTAAGCTATTAGGAGCAAAGAGTAAAGGAACATGCATAGCATAGCCTAGAGGCATCTCTGGACTGATCATTTATGCTTCTCTTTTTTCATACATTTCCCTGTGAATGCTCTCACACCTTTGCTGGCTGTAAGGATTGATAGCTGGGTACAAACAGAAAGAGCAAAGCCCAGGGGATAAGGAACATAAAAAGCCTTTTACAACACTGAGGAAGGACGTGACATCTCTTAAGTTTATTCTTCACTAACTTTTCTTCAGGGAAACATGGATTCCAAGCCCATGACCTAACAGCCTTGTGTTTGCTAAACAATTCAGCCATCACTGCTGCTTCCAGTTCTTACTTAAATCTCCCTTTATGGATTTTTTTAACTATGTTATTATTCTTTCCAAAAACTTTATTTGAAAAAAAAATGGTTCCAGCCTTGCTACAAAGGAGCAAGATGGCCTGGTCAGTAAAACAGGGAATCTGTTTGTGTTCACCCACTCCATCCAGGTGTCACGGATTTTTGTTCAGGCATGAAGGAAGATTGATGATTTCATTTCCAAAGCAGCCAATTTCCAATGGTCAGCCATAAAAAGGCTTGCAGAGTAGCAATCAGAGAACAAATAATGTGTGGCATGTAAAGAGAGCTTCCCTTCTGCAGAGGTGGGCTGTTTACCCCCTACTCCTTCTAGCACACCTGCAAAGATTTATTATGACCTCATTCTACAAACGGGGAAACTGGACCAGAAGAAAAAGTGACTTGACCAAGATTACACAGTGAGCACAATGGCAGACACCTGTAAATGTGACATAACAATATGGAATTAATGAGAAAACCAAAAGGGCTTGCTGGGAATACTACAAGCCAAAGTCTGTTCACCTCCATGCAGCTACATGCTGATTATGTGTGCAAATGTAGCTAAATGTTAACTACGGCACTGATGCAACTTTTAGATCCTGTTTCCTTCTGAATAGCTGCACATACCCTACTGAGCATGCCCAGAAGGCTCTACTGTGGCAATATAGAATCCCCTGGATAGGCATGTAACTGTGTGTAAGTTCCTGCAAATGTGGTCAGAGAAAAACCATAACTAGCAACTGTTTGATGCTGTCCCATCACGTAGCCAAATAGCCTAGTGGTCACGGCACTTTTGCAAAGAGTGGAGATAACTCACTTCTATGCCTCTCTCACCCAGAGGGGGCTTACATCTGCACTTCCCGCACTTCCCAGCAAAATGCTCTAACAGACAGGCATGCAATTACATAGCTACCCAGGTGATCTTACTCCAGCACAGAATATAAACGAGCATAGAGAAGCCTTCTCAGCATGGTCAACAGGGCAAGCACAGCCGTGCAGGTAGAAATAGAATCTAAATAGAAGTGGAGTATGGGGAAGTATCAGAAATAGTCCAGTAGCTCTAAATTCGGCAATGGAGCTGAAAAGGATGGAGGTCTTGATGGCAGGACATGTTGGTTCAGTTGAGAGAAGAGAGGGGAGTAGAGGAGAGGAGGAAACCAAATGTTCCAGAACAGCTGGAATGGGAACAGATCAGAATTTATTCTGAGACCACAAAGGAGAGGCAAAAGGGAAGTAGGTTCTCTGAAAGGTTTTGAAGATGGCTGGTTAGAAATTAGCAAGCCTGTTACATATCTTCTCAGCAAATTAGTCTGTAATCTTGAGGCAGGGCCCAGACTAGTCTAAATTCAAATCTTAGGTAAGGCTGGAAGGGACTTCTGCAGGTTATCTAACCCAACCCCCTGCTCAAGGCAGGATCATCACTATCCAAACCATCCCATACAAGTTTTCAACCTGTTCCTAAAATTGTACAATCAACCCTGCTGCACAACTACAAGGCTGATTGCCCAAGGACACTGAAAGCACCCTAACCTGCCACAGGTAAAGCAGAGGGATGACGACTGTCAGTTTCTTCATCTCTCATCAGGCTTGTGGTAGGATTGTAGTGCATAAAGATGGGTGGCTGGCACTTGTTTCAGTGTAAAATAACAGGCAACCAGGGAATAGAAAACCCAGGGAGCCAATAAACTTCTATGCAGTCAGCAGTCTAGTTCTCCCAGTGTTGAGAAGCATCGAGATGCAGAAGCTCCCTATGTCCATTGTACTGATCAGGCTTTTAGATCTTGCCCCTGAACTTTCTTTCCTCTGCAAGCATCTGGTCTGTTCAGTGCATGTGTCATGCTTCTGTTGCACAGAGTACAGGTACTCAGTGCCAAAACACAATGTATTGGCCTAGCTTGCTGGATGGATGTGAAGGGTTTTAGCTGGAAACCACTATCCAGCAGTATTCCTGAATGCAGCAGACACAGGTGAGAGCCAGGGACATGGAAGGGAGGAGTGCCAGCTAACCAGCAGCCTAACTTCTCCAGGTGTTAAATATTTTGCAGGGTAATGAGGAGCATGAAGAAATTTGTCTCACCACAGCCATTTCATCTTGCCCTCACTCTTTTTCCCTCTTAGTGGGATTCACATTTGCAGTCAATAAAAAGCACATTTTCAGTGTTTTCCAGCCACAGGAGACTTTGGCACAGTAGCTGGCTTGAATTGATGTTGCTGAGATGCAATGTGTGTGGACCATGTCAATAATAAACCCTTTCAAATCATTATTCACCTCCCATCCAGCCCACTAGACAGCCTCAGATTCGGTGTCTGAGCCACTAACTTTTTTATATAACTCAAGGCCAGATTTATTTCTCAGTATCTCTTTCTCTCTATGCTGAGAGCTTCCTCTTGTCACTTCCATTTCTGTTTTTTCACTTCACGATGTTGCATGCAGAATTTATTAGGCTGAGTTGTCAAGCAGGGTAGTCATGGTGGCTGGTGACCACTAGGGCACTGAGAATCAGGACTCCTGGGACTTCTGCTTTTTATTATTGTTTAGAGTAGAGGCATGGGAGTCAGAAATCCTGGGTTCTTATCTCAAGTGTACTACTGACCTGTTAGGCAACCTTTTACATATCCTATGCTCTCCTATCTTAGCATGACAGTCCTTTTCCTGGATCCAGAGGGTTTCAAAATCAGAAAGGTCTACTATGCTCATCCAGTTCGACCTGCACTGAGGCAAACCATAAAATCCCTGGAGTTTGCTTCCATCTTTACCACAAATTGACTGTGTGAGCCTATTACTCTGCGACCCTGAGTCAGTCCCCTCCCACTCTCTGCCTCAGTTTCCCATCTGTAAAACAGGGATTCATGATACCAACTGTCCCTTCCTCCTGGGCTGTTGAGAAGCCTAATTAATTGATGTCTGGAAAGTTCTTTAAGCCATTTGGTTAGAAAGTACCCTGAAGTATTATGCTGATGGGAGACGGAAAGTTGACATGAGTTCTTTTCAAGTCCTTCGGAGACTGTGGTCCAGCCACACAGTTAGTAAACTTCCTCTCTGTTCTTCACTGTGTCCCCAGGTTCGTTCCGCTGTACGGAAGAGGTGGCATCGGTGGCAGGACAAGCACTCCATCCGCGCCCGTGTGGCCAGAGCCATGTCCATCCCCACATCCCCAACACGTGTTAGCTTCCACAGCATCAAGCAGTCAACAGCCGTCTGACACAGGAAGAAGTTATCACCCACAAGGGAGGCAGAGGCTTGCCATAGCTTCTCCTCTGCCACTTGCACTTCAGATTGAGTGTGGTGTGTTAGCTGGGACCTTACAGGACAGCAGGAGGCCACAAGCTTGTGAGCCATGGCTCAGCAGAGCCCACTGGAGGAGTGTGATGCTCCAAAGAAATCCTCTGCTAAACTCTCCAGTGGTTGACCTGGGAAACGAGACATCAGAGCAGCTTCTGCTTATTCTGGCTGGCCAGTGGGAGGCCAAAGCATCCATGTCTGTGGGTTTGGGCAGTATCCGGTGGCTCTGAAACAAGAAGGCAGCTGAAGGCATCAGCCTATTTTGGGGTCCATACTTTCCCCAGGCCTGTGGAGTGACAGTGATTCCCAGAACGGTGACTGCCTTACTGAAGGTATGGAAGGGTCCAGCAGATGCCACACTGCACTGCATCACTCCCACTGCTGGGGGACTTGAGACACCTTATGAGTACAGGAAGAGCCCTGATCCAGAACCTGGGTCCTGACGTGCCATGGTCTGAGATCTTTCCCTCCTCCATGTTTGCACACACTGCACTGCCCCTTCTCAGATCTCATGTCCTGCATACCAAAGTGCTGTAAAAGCCCTGTCTGCAGCACATGCTATGTGCATCATGTGGGGTTGGGTGACCCCATCAGAAGCCGCTGTGTGCCAGTGGCATTGCTAACCGTGTGACATTAGGGAAGTTGGTACATTGTACCTCCTCAATATGGTCAACCTAAATGCCCTGCAGAACCTCTGCAGGCCCTAGCAACAGGTACATTGCTCTAGGGTACTTTAACCTCTAGTCAAGAACTGCCACTTGGGACAGGAATAGAGTTTACTTGGTGCCGTTTCAGTGTTGCACCTTATACAGCACTAAGGTTACTGATGCTCCCACACCGACCCTGCTTCTGCCTCCATGGAGCAAGATGCCTGTGGGCTACATGCCAGCACCTGCCATGCTGCCTGTTCCAGTGCCAGGGCATGATGCCATGAGGCATGATGTTTGCTAAGCTCTCAGGGCAGCCACTCCTGGTTTGGAGAGCTAATACTAGGACTCCTACATTGCTGCTTAAATTGCCCATTTTGGGGTGAAATTTGCTTGTTCGGTCTCAAGTGCAAAGTTGTGTGGGACCAGTCCCTCACAGCAGCATTGCTGAGTTACTTGTACTCAGGTTCACATCTCCTGAGTTAGCCTCTCTCAAGTGTGAGCATGGTCACACTTTGGAATAAGACTAGTGATTGTACTAGCGATACTGGGTGGTCAGGATTGCAGCTCATGTGTTGTGGTAGCTCCAGCTGCAGGCCCTTACTCTCAGGACAAGTATAAAGCATCAGTGCACTCAGATCAATGGGGGACTTGTTTGTGGTCAGGACTTTAGCTGGGAGCAATATTCATGTTCTAACTGGAGTTAACTCTGAAGTGAAGGCAAGTCCTGGGAGAACCAGAGAACAAGGAGGTATGGAGAGTGGTCACAGCAAGCTGCTGCTGCAGAAAAGACATAGACATGAAGGGGGCAGGGCGATCAGATTCTAGCAATGGGAGCAAGTTGTTGTAACTCAGTACATGTGCCCTCTATGACCTCTGTCAGCTGCAAGCAGGAGAGGCAGAATGGAGGTAACTGAAAGGGAAAAGGATTGTTCAGCCCAGAGCCAAAGACATGGTGCAACAGGGCGTGAATCGGGCAGAGCTAGCCATGACAGATCTAGCCAGGGTTAACACTGATTCTAGGGCAGAGGGGGCAAGAGTCCCCAGCTGTCTTGGGGAACCCCTGCCCCCTTAACCCCTCACTCACACATGTGATGAAGCACCTTAGTTCTTCTGTGTCATTAGACAACACAGATTTTAGATACCATATTTTTCACACATATAACAAGCACCCTTTTTCCCAAAACTCAGCTGCTGAAAATAGTGGTAAGTGCTTTAAGTGAGAGATGAAATACAGTAATAGCCTCTTTTGCAGCTTGAGCCTCTGCTGGGAGAAAAAGACACTTCACATGATGCACAGGGGACCAGCACAGTGAGTACATAAGGGCTTTCTAGCAGCTGAATGTGGACCCCTTCTCTTCCACCCTCTCCTTCCTGCCCCAGTAGAAGCTTGTGCTTCAGAATCTGGCTACCCACCCAAGTAGTATAAGGCTATGTACCCAGCTCAATTCAAGAAGATGGGGCAGTTTGGTGGTTTGACTGTAGTTGTCTGTTTTCCCTGGAAAAGCACTGTATTTCTCTGTATTTTCAAAAAAAGATTGTTTTTTCCCACCACTCTGCCTTTCAAAAACAAGCAGGTCTTATTCAGGAGTGTGTTGCATGTGAGGAAATGAGGAATTTCATTCCTAAATGAAAACTTGTCCAAATGTGTTGCATGTGGTATGGGCCAAAGTTTCCCCATGAAAGATGTCCAGATGCCATAAGGAATAAAGGCTGAACTGCCCTCTGGTGTCTAGTAACCTCCTTAAGGCTTCCAGGTCATTTGTGTGGCCTCTTGGTCTTGCAAGGGAAAATCTCAGAAGTGTGTATAGTTGAGGTAGTGATGGCAAACATAGCTTGGCATGGTTTGGCATGTTCTGGACACTGCTACTTTATTGCCTGGTTACTTCCTGCCATTTATTTGTCAAATATGTAAATTAGGATAATGCATCATTTACATGAAGCCTGCACACTTGCACATCTTTGGCCTTGCTAGTGAACCTCTCTTGTTAGTCACACAGTGTGGCAAACATTCCCAGATTTGTTGCGTAGCTTGAGCTGAGAGCCACGTAACAGATAACAGAGGGATGTAGATTGGCAGGGAATGTCCACAGCTTCTTATCTGCAAATGAATTGCAGATGATTTACAAAAAAAATTCAGTGGCTGAAAAGTGAAATCGGCCAGGTTCAGAACAGTGATATGATGTGTTTTTAAAAGGGGAGTTATTAACTGCTACAGCAGGCAGATGTGGCAAATTTACCATCATGCGCTGCCCTTCCGACAAGCTTTGATGTCTCAGTGCAAGAATCACAGGATGAAGATATCAGGTCTGGGTTGTGCAGGCTAGGATCAGACTGCAGGTCCCTTCGAGCCTTAACGCTGGTAACTCTGCATGACTGTCATTCAAAGAAGGATTGCCATGGCCCTCTACTTGGGACCTCTTGAGTGTATATTAACAATCTTTTATATGAGCAGGACATTGGCTGCCATGTTTCTCCTGCTTTACCTGTGGCAGTTTAGAGCATTAGGTCTATGTTATGTCAGGGTTGAGGGTAGTCTTATGTAAATTTTAGATTATGGTTGTATGGCATGGTTTGGATAAGGATGATCCTGCATCAGGCAAGGGGTTGGACTAGATGACCTCTGGAGGTCCCTTTCAGCCCTACTTCTCATGACTCTAGGTTGGTGCCCATATGGAGGTCAGGGTATTAACACCCATACCATATCAGTTTCAATGGGAGTTAGGGACCTAGATACCTCTGAGGGCCTGAATCAAAGTACTTGTCCAGCTTCCAAGACTCACAGAAGCAGAAGACCTTTCTGATGCTTTGCTACGCTTGTTTGTCCCAGGTGTCACAGAGAAGTAGGGCTGCCTAGAAAATTCCCCTCATCTCTCCACTGTGATGTTGTTTTGAGTTATCCCTGTTCCCAAGGCAGGCCTGATACATTGGCTTGTGACAGTTCAATGTGGCCATAAGCCAAAATGTTTCAAGGCAAGGTGTTTCCAGGGAGGATAGCCCATAGAAGGGAGCTTTTGTCAGCTGGAATGGAGTAGATTTGGGGGAGGTCTGTAGGTCCCACTCAGCCTTACCCCTCCCCTGACTATCAGCTGATCAAAAGGTAGATGTGGAAGGGTCTCATATGAGATTCTTTAATGCAGGCTACCCACCACTCCTAAGAGTAGCTATCCTTAAAAAAAACCCATCAAAAACCAACTTTAATATGAAATTGCAGAAGCAGAAACCATTCATTGACTGGATTGTGTTAACCTTTGTCAATGGCACCACTGGTGGTAAGCATGGGTAGATCCAGGGTTGTGTAATGGGGAGTATGGGAAATGCAGGGGTGGTTGCACCATTACTTCTAGTCTCCCTCCCTTCACCAGGATGGACAGACCATGCCACAAGGATCAGCAGCTGGAGACTTCTTTTTAAATCCCAGAAGCAGGTAAGAATTCCTCTTTCCCTTCCCATCCATGCTTGACAGCATATATCCTCCCTTCCCATTCCCCCCTCCCCTGCTCACTGTTGCCACTGTTTGTGGCTGATCCAGGGAAGGGGGAATACTCCAGAGCTACCTCCCTCACTCCCACTGGGCTGTGTGGGAAGCTGAGCTCAGCCAGAGATAGGAACAATGGTGAGCAGGAAAAGGGGAAAATGTGATGGGAGGGAACATGTTGCTGAGCAGAGGGGAAGGGAAAACAGGAATTCTTACCTTCTTTTGGGACTTAAAAAAGCCAGAGTCCCTGGCTGTTGTTCCCACCAAATGGTCTAAAATGAGGATCGCAGCCATGCCAATGGAACGCCTCTGAATCTAGCCATGGTGGTAGGCTATCATACACAGCCTTTACTCTGTGAGCGAGCAAACAGTTCTCACGGGAAGAGGGATGGTACAATGCTTAAAGCATTTGTAGAACTTCCTTTGCAGAAAACAATTCACTCCCAGCCAGGGGTGGATCTGGGGTGGGCCTCAGCAGGCACCACTGCCACCTCCCTTCCCTCCCCCTGCCTTTTGATTCTTGCTCTATTCAAAGTTTAAAGCAAACTGCCCATAGGGAAAACTGCATTTCTATTCAGATAAGCTGAGAGAGTCAATTGATTTTGTAACTCATTGTTATCTACTTGGCTTCTGTTAATCTTTTCCACTAATCAAGCTCTCTTCTACAGTTATCCTGGTAATGTTTCTTTGCTCACCCCCAGTGTGTCCAGTAATGGCATGTCACTAACCAGGAGCTTGTTCCAGGTGGTTTTGTTCCCAGGGGATTCAAACCCACACCAAGCCAGGGACAGGGCGGAGAGAGGCAGGGTTGAAGGGAAGCCCACCTGTCTGATGGCTTGGGCAAAAAGGTCAAAGGCAGGGGGAAGTTGCAAAAGCAAAGCAAAGAAGTTACTGAAGTCACCTGTTCCTGGGTTATGTATTGGAACAGATGACAGAGGCTGTGGAAGGCTGAACCAGCTGCACAACTGGGGTAACAAAGTTGGACATGAGCAATTATAGCCCATGGTTGGGGGCCCTGAGGGGTGGGGGGGGTTATTATTTAAGAGGGGTTCTGAAGGGAAGTGAGTCAAGGGCACCAAGGGACTTTTTGGGAGAAGGGAGCAGAGTCTGGGGGCTAGAGGGGTTTGAGGTGAGAGGCTGGAGTGTTATGGAGGTGGAGGGGGTGCGGACAAGATGGAGTTTGGGACTTAGGGGTATGGTGGGGGTAGTAGGTATGAAATGGTGTCTAAAGGGATTGAGAGCAAAAGGAAATGTGGGTATGGGAAGCCCAGGAAGTGTGAAGGACTGAAGTGAGTGTTGGGTACTCAGAAGGGCAGGGAAGGGCTCAGCAGGGCACAAAGGGGATGGTGAGGGGTAGCGGGCTTGAGCAAGATGTGGATGAGTCTGTCTGGAGTGTAGTGGGTTTAAGGGAGCAGTGAGGAGGCAGGGTACGACTTAGTGGGTCATGAGGGGGATGGTGGAGTCTGATGGGGCTTGGGACATGATGGGTGAGCATGGGGGGGATATGTGGGATAATGGGTCAGAGTGGAGCCAGGGAGCACTTGAAACAGTAGAGGCAATACTTAAGGGGCCACCGTGGAATGTCTGGGGGGGACCCATGTGTTGGGTGCAGGGAGGAGTCCCTGTCTGTGACCAGGTGCCGACTCTACTCTGGAGATGATAGTCACTCCTCCCAACCCTCCCCTCACCCCCCAGTACAGTTCTATTTGCTTTTGTTTGGAT